TTGCTGCCAACACACTCAATAATTTTCCTCGGGGCAATGTCCAGATATTTTTTTTTTTATCGAAAACAAGACAATCAGAGTGAATATTGATTGAACAGAATAAATCAGTAATTTCAAAGATCGTTTTGAGATTACCGCTATAGAATACATTATTTCCCTAGCTATTTACTGAGATTATCGTTGTGCATCACTGAAAAAATTGACAGAACGAAGATTGTATTGTGCCAAGAAACTTGGTTCACTGTGCCGTGCTAGACAATTTTTCCCTCCAGAATATATCGGGTATATCTATAAGTCTACCATTTGTCCATGCTTATAATATTGCTGCCAAACATGGCCCGGTGTTCCTGTTATATATCTAGAACTCCTTGATAAAATCCAAAGAAGAATGAGCAATATTATTGGTCCTGACCTGGCGTCACGGCTTCAGTCATTTTATCAACTCCGTAAAATTACCTCCCCGTGCCTTTTCTATAAATACTTCCATGGTAACTGTTCGAATGAGTTCTTCACTATGGTACCATGACTTTAAGCGCAATACTAGACAGGCAATTAGATCTAAGCAATTAAAAGTTTTATGAGCTAGATGTAACCGTAGGTTCTATGCTAACGGTATCTTTTCTCGCACTTATCGCTTGTGAAATTATTCCAATTCCATGCTTCCCAGTCAATTGTAATGTTCAAAAATATAAAGACAATTTTAATCGCTATCTAATGTCCTCTTGATTACACTTCTTTTGTTCACGCTCCTTAGTAATGTTTCTGTTTTCTAGTTCTTCACCCAGTAACTTATTGTGTCATATTGGTTTTAGTGCCTTGCTTGGGGTGAACTAGATTAAAAAATATATGAATTCTACCCAGAAAATCAGTTTTTGACATCCTGGTTTTTACATATGTGATCAAACTCTGATCTTTGGTGTTAGAATATGCGCAGTTACCTGACGACATGCGGAATAATGATCCTTAAATTATTAAACCTGGAACAACGAAATAGAAAATAATGAATTCAGTAAATGTAAAAAAATAGAAAAGGATGGCTCTTTTTAACAGACTTATTCAATTTTTATAGCGAGATGATCCTGAGGGAATTAGAAGACCTACCATAATTTATTGCTGGCGGACACGATCTTAACAGCATGAAATATTCTGATCCTTGAGCGAAGACACTAAAAAAGTAAAAGAAACGGCAGCAACTAAATGAGGTAGTAAAAAATAATGAGAAGAAAGGGCTTACCATCAACTGCAAGAAGAGAGAACGTTTGGCTATCGGCAAGATGTACATCCCAATATACAAACTACGAATTGAAAAGTACGAACATTTAAAAAGCTGGAAAGTGATTTAACAATGGACGGAAAATGCGAAGTCGCACTGGATTAGATTAGCAATGTCTGAAGAAAAAAGAACATATTCTTTTAGAAGCAAAGAAAACGGGTAGTGAACTCTTATGTAATATTCGTCCTTCTATAGAGACATCTCCTTACAGGTGAAGAAGAGACTAGAAACAAAAGAAATGTGATTCTACAGACGAATGCTGAGAATACCATGGGCCGAATATGCGATCAATGAGGGAGATTTAATGACGATGGTAGCAGAAAGGATGCTTATACGTAGAATCAGAAAGAAATGATCTAAATTTCTGGGATCATTACAGAGGAATGAGGGCTTGAGGAATTCGATACTCACAGAATATACTGAACGTAACGTGGACAGAAATTTACAGCGAATAACCGACTTAACGCGCTTGTGTAAGTAGATAGCTGAACAACGGAAATGAGAGGGAAAGTAAAAAAAGAAATAAAATAAGTATCAAAACATACATATGATAGGAAGTTGTAAAGAGCCTTGATCGCCTACATCTTCAAGACACAACACATAGAAAGAAAAATTAGTAGTAGACTAACTATAGACTAATAAGTATAATCTACAATTAGATGGGACGCTAAGTACTCAACTATCATCTGTTATTTAGCTTGTCATTAAGCTTGCTATATTTTGTATCAATTTTATGCTAATTTTTAAAACTTTTTCTTCGGCGAATCGTCTATTGTTATTCGTTCTTTGTTTGTCGTTTTGTTTCTATTTTTGAAGACTTTTCATTCGTTTCATGTTCTGACAGTGGTATTCTCAACATCCTATTGTATCAGCACATTTCTGCCAGCTCCAGTCTTCTATTCGTCTGAGAGGAAATCATCCAACATATACTGCCATATAGATGTATTGGCATTACACAAGAGTTCAGCTCTGTCTTACTAACATATATTTCCTGTTCCATAGTATTTAACATAGTTTTTAGAAACTACCATTTGCTATTATAATGTACTTCTCATTTCGGTGTCGTATATTCTATCCATGATTTAAAACAGAAATTTGACAATTCAACTTCTTTACCTGTTTGATGCTGACATCTCCAGATCACAGGCTTTTTCTCTCTCTCTTACTGACAGCTATGTATTCCGTCTTACTGCAATTGACGCTTAATCCTTTTTTCCCCGCTTACATTATTACCTTATCTAGGGGGTCGTACTGTGCTCTTTCTCTATCTGTCATGGTGTATCTACGAGTCTTTTATTAAGTTTGTGTCCATCAATAGTAATTTCCGATAGTTATCTTAGGACTGCTTTGCTGTAGGATTTTATAATTAATTTAACCGCATTATTATCTTTTGTTTATTCACATAAAATAATAAAAGAAGGCAAAATATATCTACAAAAAAATGATCCGCACTTTCGCCATGATATATCGTTTGTTGTAATACTTCCTGTACATCCGTGCTTATAGGGTCAACTACTGTGGGCACATAATAGAAATTTGAGCTTGAGTTTTGATGCTGCTGTTACAGGGTAAACAGGATAGATCCGCTACAAGTGTGCACCAGGTAGGAACAAACAACAAACGATTGCGGCTTTATATGCCCCTCACCTTTATGCGCATATATTTTTCAGGTATTTTCCGGTTTACAAGACGCTGCGGCTTAGGAGACGCACCCTAATATTGGAAAGAAATTGTCATTCTCATACAACAACACATTCACAATGCGGCCCTCACATATTGGCGCCACGTATTGCTTACATTAATCACTCGTCCGATGTTGTTTGTATGGCAATGACATGCTAGTTGGTGTTTAGTAAATATACTAGACATCTTTCATTGTCGAAGGGTTGTTTTAAATCGTTTTGATGAACTCGCAATGGGTGATAATTTCTACGACCAAAAAAGCTTGTGATAAGTGTGATAGTCTGGTGGTAACCGATAATTTCACAACATAAGAGTGTGAGCTAACCTACACCATCAAGATCAATAACAGAAGGGCTCCCACCGCTGCTAGTAAACAGTGCATGTTTAAGCTTGTGGCTCGGCTCCTGGAAGGTTTATAATCTTGGAAATATTTGTAACAGCTAAGTACTGAGGTTACATCATATAAAAAGCTGAATTAGATAGATAACATTATAGTGTAATGTCTCAACATAAAAATCAACGTCCGTATCAGTCAAGACAATTAAGTGAGTGTCCAAGCTCACTTGGGACTGGACTTTGCCTTACATTCGTCGTCGAATAGCACACTTATTTTCAGGGTATTACTTAAGGAAAAATGCGTCTTGCAAGCCGGAAAATACGGTACATCAACAGATATATTACATTGGTTCGATCAAGGTCTAAATGACAAAACGCGTCACACATTTTTTTCTACTTTGTTATTAATTTTCATAACATTGTTCTGATATATAAAAATTACCTCATACCTGAAAATATATATATATATATATATATATATATATATATATATATATGTGTGTGTGTGTGTGTGTGTGTGTGTGTGTGTGTGTGTGTGTGTGTCAGCGAGAGAGGGAGAGAGAGTGTGTGATTAAAACGAAAGATAACCAACGGGTGCTTCTTATATGTAGATTTAATAGGCCGATTAATAAAATGAGTGATAAAAGGCTTTCATTTCTTGTCAAAATAAAGACAAACATTTTTTTTATTGTTATATTTAAGCTTTCCTAGCTCACATGAGACATCCTCAGAGTGGGTATCTTTGTTTCATTTTAGTATAACCACGCTGAGGATGGCTCATGTGAGCCAAAAGCTTAGAACCAACTTAATTTTAAAAAATATCAACATGTTGGACAATTTTTTTATTATTTTCACACCTATATTAAAGCAAACATACGAAGTTTAAACTTTTATGATCAGACATAATAGACATTCATTTATATTTAACAATATACATTTAAATAATGATCTGCTGCCCCAATACTACATATATATATATATATATATTAAAGACATTTTTATGTTTAACGTTCTTTTTTAGAGATACAAGTATTTAAGTAAATGCTCAGTTTATAATAAACAGTATTAAATAACATTTACCGGCCTGAATGTCCGAGAAATTTTCATAGAAAATATTCGTCCTTTGACAGGATTCGAACCTGCATCCTATACGGAACCGTCATTTACGCTGATGTGCCTTACCGATCGGCCACAAAGGAGCGTTCGGTAGACAAGGTCGAATTTACTGCTTATAAACTTCAATCTTCTTTCAGATTCTTTAATTTAAATTCGAAACGATCCACATTCTCAAAGAACAGTCTGACATAACAGGTAAGTAATGACAAGAAATATAAGTGAAAAGTGTGTGTATATAAATATAAACAAATATATATATGTATAATTATTTATATATTATATGCGCGGTACTTATTAGAAAGCGCTCAATATCAGAGATAGAGCTAACATATTTGGTTGGATAGATGTGAGTTTGTGACCCTGGGTTTCACACTTTAGCGATCGTCAGACATATATATATATATATATATATATATATATATATATATATATATATATATATATATACTTGTTCTTTTATCTTAATATGTCACCAATCAATTCTTGCGGTCTTCTAAATAAAGTATCTTAAAAGTTCTGACACTACATTAACATAATATCTGGGATAAAGTTTAGTGACAAATGTCTTATTAAATCTTGTATATCTTTTATCATGTTTTTACGTATTTTCATTTTTTTTTTTAGCTGCATAGGGGGAGGCCCACAGCAGAGTAAATCATTTTCCCCTGAACAAATCAGTCCAATGTTGTATAAGATGTGTTTAACGATTTACAAAATATCAGTTGGCACCTCGCCAAAATTCCAGGAGTTGATGGTGCAGTACGTAAACGAATCTCTTTTGCCGCCTTTCCTCAACCAATTAGCATCCACCATTGCCATAATCAACTGAACACACTCGTTATTACATCACTTCCATCAATAATAGAAACAGCTAGATCACCGTGAACCCTACAATTTGCCCTATGGAGACTATCAATTGAATATACCTGTATAGACCTCAAACGTAACCCAACCCCTCAAATTCCTCCATAAGTAACCGATGCAATCAGTGATTGATTTACTAACTACTGCAGAAAACCGGTTTTATCAGCATTCTCATCTCGATTAGCGCTTGGAAATATAAAAGCCTTTATAAACATTCTCCAATGTAAAAGCCTTTATAAACATTCGCCAATGTAATGAATAAATGGCAGCTTTTTCGGTGATGCGACTACGTTACATTATAAGAGGATCAACGAGCTTGATACACAGACCGCTTAAATAAAGAAAAATTCGTCGTAAGGGAATGGAAACTAATTTTGTTTGGTTTAAAGTGCGTCTTCTATTTTTTTTAATCAATACAACAGGACGCGAACATTTCTGTTAAGCCGAGGCTTGATCGTTACTCATGCAACTATGAGATCAGTTGCTGTTCGATATAAACCGATGCTCTTTCAGAAATTTGGTCAATCATCCCTACCCCGATAAGTCAATATGTCCGCTGCCTAAGAATAGAAATAAGTGCATTCATTTCACTCAATAGATTTCAACATAATCTACCTTGTCAACGCACTTAATTCCGTGGTGAATAATAAACATAGCTCAAACTAAATAAAGTGAATCATTCATAACAATCATCATCATTTATTCAGTTAGCGTATATTGCGCCTCTGTGGTAAGCACTCCCCTCTATTGCTATTGGGGTTCATGGTGACATTCAAGGCAAAATAGTGCAATGGCTCGCTAGTTCCTTTTGCACCGGAGATATTGACGTTACCCCGTTCCTCTTCTCAGAATCCCTTTCTTACCGCTGGTAAAGACGTCAGCCTGTGAAGCGCAGCTCATACGCCCCGTCTGGTTACTGGCCGATAGCCGCTTGTCACTTGTTGATTTGAGAGAGGGGCCCCGCTTCTCCGCCCAGGTTTGGAAACCATTCCGACTACACTCACACGGTTTAGTCGGCAGGTTGGTGCCTTTGACCGGGGGAGTGACCAACACTGTGCCAATGCTACTTCTTGGTGCCACGTGTGACATTTGGATGTAGTCCGTAGACCAGTATATTTCCGCATCCCCTAAGTAAAGTGTCGACTGATTCGCTGCAATGTTACTAGCACTGACAATACACCCCATACACCATAACAATACGGTATATGCCTTTATCAGCATGTTCATTTTTCAGACTGTTGATCACGCTAGATAATGCCTTCTGTCCCAGAATCTATATCTAAAGCATAGTTGCAATATAAACCAGAGGAAGGCTTTGTCGGTGTTGAACAAACAAATATTCCTGAGCAGGCTTCTGCTACAGGGAACGGCTAGTTGCCCTTATAGACAAATATATTCGCATAAGAGCGGATCGCCATTATTATTATCTTTATGAAGCTATGAAATTAGTGAACCATTCACATAAAGTTAAAAAAAAACGTATATAATATTTATTGGGTGAGAACCTTATGCCATTGCAGAACGTGTGGAATTATTTAATGTCGAAATCTGCTTCCTATCTTACTTGAATCTATTAAGAATATCTGCATGAAATCAGATATCAGACTGTTGTGCACATTGGCCTTCTCAATTTTTCTCTACGCCTACGAATGTGTTAAATAAATTTTTTAACAGAAACAATGCATGCGAGTAAGTATATTGTCGTAGATATAGTAAATATCATAGACTGTAAATTTTGTTGGGTGTTAGAATAGGTCCATTTTATTTTTACGAACGAAATGACCAGGTCACGTTATAGATTGAAACATAAAGAACCCATTTATTCGAGCTATATCATTTAGAATATTAACTTCATCTGTAACATTTTAGATTCAGCCTAGCCGGAATTATTCGACTTTTATAGTGAAGCGATTCTGAGAGAATTAGAAATCTTAACAAGATTCATTATTGGCGCCCCCACAATCTTAACAACACACGAAATGCAGTAGCCGCAGTGTTGATAACAGATAAAGAAAGCAAACTAAATGGAGACCTACATAGTTAGGAAAATAAAGCGAGAAGGAAGGATCAGTTGTAAGAAGATAGAATGTAGAGTTGTCAGCAAGAGGAACAACCCAAGATTTGAAATACGAATTATAGACACTATTATCGAGTGAGTCATTTAGTTATGTGTAATGCGTGATACATGACTGACGAGGCAGATTTTTTCTCGCAAGAGGTTGCCATTTTTTCTGCGGTAGACCAGTTGCCATCCGAGGCTATTTACCTATATCTGGAAGGAGAAGAAGAGGATTCATACCTTTCCCAAGGGTATTAGCACGTAAGTTAACGTAATGGATTCGACTGGAATTCGAAATCGGTTCTCCAATTCCTTAATCTGAGCCGTTATCAATTACTCCACCATGCCTCCATCGAGTACAAAATTTAAATATCTAGCCAGTGTATTACTGAAAGATGCAATACTCAAACCCTAAGGCGCATTGAGATAGCAAAATATGCCTTCGAAAATGTTGTGGGGCTCTCCCCTCTTTACATAAGATGGACTCGTCCAAATTATACTTATACTGACAGAGAGAATACTTGCTGTTGAGCTACGTCGAGGTACAGTCTCGACGTCTGTCGAACTCTTTGTTTTGCCAGAGAACCCGGACGAAGCTTTGCCGAAGGGCAAGGTTTCGTCCGGGGAGGTAGACAGACTTTGAACCCGTCTAGGCGGGTTCAAAGGGTACATTTTTTGGCTGAGCCTACGAGCTCGGGGAAACCCACTTTAAACTAGGCCTTGTGCCACATATATTCCTCGTGGTTGGGATATTAAATACTGAGATACGCCGAGATACAGTCTCGACGTCTGTCGAACTCTCCGCTTTGGCAGAGAGGAACACGGACGAAGCTTTGCCGAAGACCAAAGTTTCGTCCGGGAACGTATACAGGTCCTGACCCCGTCTAGGCGAGGGGTCAAAGGGTATATTTTTGGCCGTGCCGATGTGCTCGGAGAAACCCACTTTAAACTCGGCCTTGTGCCACATATGTTCCTCGTGGGTGGGATATTAAATAGAGAGATATGTAGAGATACGTTGAGATACGTGGAGATACGCTGAGATACGTTGAGACAGGTTGAGAGATACGGAGACAGACACAGGGTGTACTCAGAGAGTTATACAAGAGTCCAGAGAGAGAGAGAGAGAGAGAGAGATGATTACGGCTTTACTTACAGAGACTTGTACATATACTTTCTACTAACCGGCATTCCTGGACTACTAATCTTCATTTCAAGTCTGTATTCTTACGTTAATACACTTATTTTTCTATCTCAATTTCTGGCGTTGTTTATTTATTTGTACAGGATTCCATTCCCGGAATCCACAACAGAAAAATTAAGTAAAGTATTAAAAATCATGAAAATTTCGTTAGAAACAAAGACAAAATTACTCGACTTTTATATAATATCGGTCCTTTTATGTAGTAGTGAATTCTGAATCCACAGAAGTGTCGTTCTACAGAAGGAAGCGGAGAGCACGATGATTTGAACATCAACTAACCTATGGAGAAAATGGAAAAAAATTGACACTTATGCTTAGAATCAGAAAGCGAAAATTGAAATGTCCTTAGTGCATTATGAGGAAAGAAGGCTTGGAATAGTTAACACTCACAGATAACATTTACGTCAAGAAAGACAGAAGAAAACAGCAAATAACCTACTTAACGGGCTTGTACAAATTGTTAGCAGAACAGAAATTAGTAGAGATAATAAAAAGACAAATATTGTTAAAATCTAAATTGGACAGGAATCAGTGGCGAACCATGATCGCATAGGTCCTGGAGTTCCAGGGCATGTAAAGAAAAGACTGGGATCAGGTAAAAGGAGTAACAAATATATATTTACTACTTTCATACTGAATGTATATTCATCATTTTTATACATTAAACAAATGTGCTAAGAGGTTTATAGAAGAACAAATAGGTAGCTCACTATCCCTTTTCCCATTCACCCTTGTTTCAAATATGAAAATAATGTATTCAATTATGCTGATCAGAAAAACATTCAATCTTCCGCATGCTGCCTTATTAGCATAAATTTTAGTTTTACTTTTACTTTCACTTTAACTTCCAAATATTATTTCTTCTACTACTGGGTGTGTTTATTTACTTGACAAATACAATTCGTTTTCTTCGTGGCATTTTATTTTTATTCTGTTGCATCCTTCTTTCCACCCTGCATTCAGTCAACTTTTGGACTTTAATTTTCAACGAACATTTCCTATTTTTCTCTTTATTTTTCTTATTTTTCATCTATCAAAATTATTTCATTTTACATATCTTTGTATATATTAGTGTTTATTTCTTAACTGCATCTTAGGAAAAATTTATCTTCTATTTATTTATTTATTTATTTACATTTATTATTTATTTTCCCATTTCAAATTTTCATAATTCTTTATCTGTGACTTCTTGAATTCTTTTTTCATTCTTTGGTTGAATTTATTTACTACCTTCTCGTTTCTTTCATTTCTGGATACATTTTCCTTTCTTTCAGTCTTTCTTTTTTTTTTTTCTTTCATTCTTCATCATTCCTTTATTTATTATTTATTTTGTCATGCATCTATTACTTAGGCTCTTGTGTCTTTTTCTTTAGTCTCTTCTTTTTGTTTAGATCTTTCCTTTCTCGTCCATTTTCTTCTTATTTTTACGTTAGCCTCTTTTCTTCTTTACATCTTTCTTTTTACTTCTTTCTTCTTCTTCTTCTTCTTCTGCTGCTTTTTTTTTTTTCTTTCTTCTTCTTTCTTTTTTTTATTTATTTTTTCTTCTTTATTATCTTTTCTTCATCTTCCTATTCACCTGCTTTTTTTTTTCTTTTTTCTTCTTTTTATTTACCTCATCCATTCTTCTTCTTCTTCTTCCTTATTTCTTGCAATTCTTCACACTCTTCTTCTTAACTTTTCATTCTTCTTCAAAATCATCCCCTCTTCCATTCTTTCCTATTTATTTTCTTCTTTTCTTCTTCTTCTTCTTGTTCTTCTTCTTCTTTTCTTCTTCTTCATTAGTTCTTCTTCTTCTTCCATTCTTGTTCTTCTTTTTTCTTCTTCTTCTTCTTCTTCTTCTACCTAATCCCATTCTTCCTCTTCCCCTCTTCCATTCTTCTTCCATCCCCTCTTCTTCTTCTTCTTCTTCTTCTTCTTCTTCTTCTTCTTCTTCTTCTTCTTCTTCTTCTCTACCTAATCCATTCTTCCTCTTCCCCTCTTCCATTCTTCTTCCACTTCTTGAAACTTCTTCTTCTTCTTTTCTTCTTCTTCTTCTCTACCTAATCCATTCTTCCTCTTCCCCTCTTCCATTCTTCTTCCACTTCTTGAAACTTCTTCTTCTTCTTCTTCTTCTTCTTCTTCTTCCATTCTTCTTCCCTTCTTGAAACTTCTTCTTCTTCTTCTTCCTACTTTCTTCTTCTTCTTCTTCTTCTTCTTCTTCTTCTTCCATTTCTTCTTCTTCTTCTTCTTCTAATCCATTCTTCTTCCTCTTCCCCTCTTCCATTCTTCTTCCATGCTTCTTCTTTTCTTCTTCATTCTTCTCTACCTATTCATTCTTCTTCTTCTTCTTCTTCTTCTTTCTTCTTCCACTTCTTGGAATCCATTCTTTTCTTCTTCTTCTTCTTGAAACTTCTTCCATTCTTCTTCTTCTTCTTCTTCTTCTTCTTCTTCTTCTTCTTTTCTTCTTCTTCTTCTTCTCTACTTTCCATTCTTCTTCCCCTCTTCTTCTTCTTCTTCTTCTTCTTCTTCTTCTTCTTCTTCTTCTTTTCTTCTTCTCTCCATTCTTCCTTTCCCCTCTTCCATTCTTCTTCCACTTCTTTTCTTTTCTTCTTCTTCTTCTACCTAATCCATTCTTCCTCTTCCCTCTTCCATTCTTCTTCCTTTTCTTCTTCTTCTTTTTCTTCTTCTCTAAATCCATTCTTCCTCTTCCCTTTCCATTCTTCTTCTTCTTCTTCTTCTTCTTCTTTTCTTCTTCTCTACCTAATCCATTCTTCCTCTTCCCCTCTTCCATTCTTCTTCCACTTCTTGAAACTTCTCTTCTTCTTCTTCCCTTCTTCCTTTCCATTTTTACCTTCCATTCTTCCTCTTCCCTCTTCATTCTTCTTCTTCTTCTTCTTCTTCTTTCTTCTTCTTCTTCTAATCCATTTCTTCTTCCCCTCTTCATCTTCTTCCACTTCTTCTTCTTCTTCTTTTCTTCTTCTCTACTAATCCATTCTTTGTTTTCTTCTTCTTCTTCTTCTTCTTCTAATCCATTCTTCCTCTTCCCCTCTTCCATTCTTCTTCTTCTTCTTGAAACTTCTTCTTCTTCTTCTTCTCTACCTAATCCATTCTTCCTCTTCCCCTCTTCCATTCTTCTTCCACTTCTTCTTCTTCTTCTTTTCTTCTTCTTCTTCTACCTAATCCATTCTTCCTCTTCCCCTCTTCCATTCTTCTTCCACTTCTTCTTCTTCTTCTTCACTTCTCTACCTAATCCATTTTCCTCTTCCCCTCTTCCATTCTTTTCCACTTCTTGAAACTTCTTCTTCTTCTTCTTCTTCTTCTTCTTCTACCTAATCCATTCTTCCTCTTCCCCTCTTCCATTCTTCTTCACTTCTTGAAACTTCTTCTTTTCTTCTTCTTTTCTTAATCTTCTTCTCTACCCCTCTTATTCCTCTTCTTTTCCTTCTTCTTCTTCTTCTTCTTCTCTACCTAATCTTCTTCCCTTCTTCCATTCTTCTTCTTCTTCTTCTTCTTCTTCTTCCATTCTTCTTCTTCTCTACCTAATCCATTCTTCTTCCCTTTCTTCTTCCACTTCTTCTTCTTCTTCTTCTTCTTCTTCTTCTTCCTAATCATTCTTCCTCTTCCCCTCTTCCATTCTTCTTCCACTTCTTGAAACTTCTTCTTTTCTTCTTCTTCTTCTTCTCTTCTACCTAATCCATTCTTCCTCTTCCTCTTCCTTCTTCTTCTTGAAACTTCTTCTTCTTCTTCTTCTTCTCTACCTAATCCATTCTTCCTCTTCCCCTCTTCCATTCTTCTTCCACTTCTTGAAACTTCTTCTTCTTCTTCTTCTTCTTCTTCTTCTTCTTCTTCTTCTTCTTCTTCTTCTTAATCCATTCTTCCTCTTCCCCTCTTCCATTCTTCTTCCATCTTGAAACTTCTTCTTTTCTTCTTCTTCTTCTTCTTCTTCCTCTCCTCTTCTTCTTCTTCACCTCTTCTTCATTCTTCCTCTTCCCCTTCTTCTTCTTCTTCTTCTTTTCTTCTTCTTTCTTTTTTCTTCTTCCCCTAATCCATTCTTCCTTCTTCCCTTCTTCCATTCTTCTTCCACTTCTTAAACTTCTTCTTCTTCTACCTAATCTTCTTCTTCCTTCTTCCCCTTCATTCTTCCTCTTCCCTCTTCCATTCTTCTTCCTTCTTCTTCTTCTTCTTCTTCTTCTTCTTCTCTTTTCCTCTTCCATTCCTCTTCCCCTCTTCTTCCATTCTTCATTCCTCTTCCCTTTGAAACTTCATTCTTCTTCCATTCTTCTTCTTCTTCTTCTTCTTCTTCTTCTCTACCTAATCCATTCTTCCTCTTCCCTTTTTCTCTTCCATTCTTCTTCCATTCTTTTCTTCTTCTTCTTCTCTACCCTAATCATTCTTCCTCTTCCCTCTTCAAAACTTCTTCTTCTTCTTCTTCTTTTCTTCTTCTTCTTCTTCTCTACCTTCCATTCTTCTTTTCTTCCCTTCTTCTTCCCTTCTTGAAACATTCTTTTCTTCTTCTTCTTCTTCCTTCTTCTTCCCCTCTTCTTCTTCTTCTTCTTCTTCTTCTTCTTCTTCTTCTTCTTCTCTTCTAAATCCATTCTTCTTCCTCTTCCCCTCTTCCATTCTTCTTCCTTCTTGAAACTTCTTCTTTTCTTCTTCTTCTTCTCTACCTAATCCATTCTTCCTCTTCCCCTCTTCCATTCTTCCCACTTCTTGAAACTTCTTCTTTCTTTCTTCTTCTTCTTCCTATAATCCATTCTTCTTCTTCTTCTCTACCTTCCATTCTTCCTTCCCTCTTCTTGAAACTTCTTCTTTTCTTCTTCTTCTTCTTCCATTCTTCTTCCCCTCTTCTTCTTCTTCCACTTCTTGAAACTTCTTCTTCTTCTTCTACAACTTCTTCTCTACTTAATCCATTCTTCCTCTTCCTTCCATTCTTTCTTCCATTCTTCTTTTTCTTCTTCTTCTTCTCTACCTAATTTCTTCCTCTTCCCCTCTTCCATTCTTCTTCCACTTCTTGAAACTTCTTCTTCTTCTTCTTCTTCTTCTTCCTTTCCCCCTCTTCTTCCTCTTCCCCTTTCTTCTTCCACTTCTTGAAATTCTTCCTCTTTTCTTCTTCTTCTTCTCTTCTTTATCCTAATTTCTTCCTCTTCCCTTCTCTTCCAATCTTCTTCCTTCTTCTTTCGTTCTTCTTCTTCTTCTTCTTCTTCTCTACCTTCCATTCTTCCTCTTCCCCTCTTCCATTCTTCTTCCACTTCTTAGAAACTTCTTCTTTTCTTCTTCTTCTTCTCTACCTAATCCATTCTTCCTTTCCCTCTTCATTCTTCTTCCCTTCTTGAAACTTCTTCTTCTTCTTCTTCTTCTATCTCATCATTCTTCCTCTTCCCTCTTCTTCTTCTTCCACTTCTTGAAACTTCTTCTTTTTCTTCTTCTTAATCTTCTTCCTCTTCCCCTCTTCCATTCTTCTTCCCACTTCTTTTCTTTTCTTCTTCTTCTCTACTAATCCATTCTTCTCTTCCCCCTCTTCATTCTTCTTCCCACTTCTTTTTTCTTCTCTTAATCTTCTTCTTCTTCTTTCCATTCTTCCTCTTCCCCTCTTCCATTCTTCTTCATTCTTCCTCTCTTCTTCTTTTCTTCTTCTACCCTTTTTCCTTTCCCCTCTTCCATTCTTCTTCCCTTCTTGAACTTCTTCTTCTTCTTCTTCTCTACCTAATCCATTCTTCCCCCTCTTCTTCTTCTTCCTTCTTTGTTCTTTCTTCTTCTTCTTCTCTACCTAATCCATTCTTCCTCTTCCCCTCTTCCATTCTTCTTCCTTCTTGAAACTTCTTCTTTCTTCTTCTTCTCTACCTAATCCATTCTTCCTCTTCCCCTCTTCCATTTTCTTGAAACTTCTTCTTTTCTTCTTCTTCTACCTAATCCATTCTTCTTCCTCTTCTTCCCTCTTCTTCCCCTTCTTCTTCCTTCTTCATAATCTTTCTTCTTCTTCTTCTTCTTCTTCTTCTACTAATCCATTCTTCCTTTCCCCTCTTCCATTCTTCTTCCTTCTTGAAACTTCTTCTTTTTCTTCTTCTTCTCTACCTAATCCATTCTTCCTCTTTTCCATTCTTCTTCCACTTCTTGACTTTTCTTCTTCTTCTTCTTCTTCTCTACCTAATCCATTCTTCCTCTTCCCCTCTTCCATTTCTTCTTCCACTTCTTCTTCTTCTTCTTCTTTCTTCTTCTTCTTCTCTACCTAATCCATTCTTCCTCTTCCCTCTTTTCTTCTTCCACTTCTTCTTCTTCTTCTTTTCTTCTTCTTCTTCTCTACCTAATCCATTCTTCCTCTTCCCTCTTCCATTCTTCTTCCATTCTTCTTCTTCTTTTTCTTCTTCTTCTTCTCTACCTAATCTTCTTCCTCTTCCCCTCTTCCAATTTCTTTCTTCCTTTTGAAACTTTTCTTTTCTTTCTTCTTCTTCTCTACCTAATCCATTCTTCCTCTTCCCCTCTTCCATTCTTCTTCCACTTCTTGAAACTTCTTCTTTTCTTCTTCTTCTTCTCTACCTAATCCATTCTTCCTCTTCCCCTCTTCCATTCTTCTTCCACTTCTTGAAACTTCTTCTTCTTCTTCTTCTCTACCTAATCCATTCTTCCTCTTCCCCTCTTCCATTCTTCTTCCCTTCTTTTTTCTTCTTCTTCTTCTTCTTACCTAATCTTCCTCTTCCCCTCTTCCATTCTTCTTCTTCCATTCTTCTTCTTCTTCTTCTTCTTCTTCTTCTTCCTAATCCATTCTTCCTCTTCCCCTCTTCCATTCTTCTTCCACTTCTTGAAACTTCTTCTTCTTCTTCTTCTACCTAATCCATTTTCCTCTTCCCTTTCCATTCTTCTTCCACTTCTTGAAACTTCTTCTTCTTCTTCTTCTTCTTCTCTACCTAATCCATTCTTCCTCTTCCCCTCTTCCATTCTTCTTCCACTTCTTGAAACTTCTTCTTCTTCTTCTTCTTCTTCTCTACCTAATCCATTCTTCTCTCCCCTCTTCCATTCTTCTTCTTCTTGAAACTTCTTCTTCTTCTTCTTCTTCTTCTTCTTCTTCTCTACCTTTCCATTCTTCCTCTTCCCCTCTTCATTCTTCTTCTTCTTCTTCTTCTTCTTCTTCTTCTTCTTCTTCTCTACCTAATCCATTCTTCCTCTTCCC